AGAGCCCCTTGAGACCACTTCCTGGTCCCCGGGATTACCTGGGTTACTTACTAAGACAGAAATATCTATGGAGAGAATTCATGGTAGACACTAAAGATTTTACATTCCAAACAGCACGTTTGGAGTACTGGGTTCATTGTGCGATGCCTTCAGCATTGCATTTGTGTTCTAATGAAGCCCAGCTGATCTGAATTTCTATCCCCAGGAGGTATAAAATGAGATCACGTTTGTATTTGTTGTAGTAACAAATGGACAATGATTTTACCTTTATGCGTAATTATAAATATTAGTTTATTTGTGCAGGTAAATAGAACACAGATTCCTCGAAGGTGGAGAATCTGTCTTGCGCATCGTTGTGTCAGTGCTGTCCGGACACATCCCCAGTACGCAAACCGTACTGGTTGCCTGAATGGACTGTGGTTCCTGGAGCAGTATTTCCAGTTTTTCTGTTAGCATTTGTCCGTGTCTGTGCGGATGGGCTATGACGGACGGAGGAGACAGCAGGTGCGGGGGAGTTGCCTTAGCTGTAGGTCACACGGTTGAGCTCCACTGGGTGGACAGACGCGTCGTGCTCCAGGTTCCTTTCGACTCCCTCCGGGCAAATCTGAGGACACGTAGTAGCTCCAGGGTTCAGGATGGAGCAACAGGGAGCTTTAGCTTGTGCCTAGCCATGGAGAAGCAGATGGCGTTTAATATGTAGACACCTGGGGCTTTCACAGGTGTCCTTTGGGCAGTCTGGGCCTGCCCGTGCCAGCGGGCGGGATTTCTTCGTCAAGTTTCAGCTCTGGAGGGCAGTGACACGAAAGTACGGAAACGGGTGCCAAGACCGGAACGGGTCCACGCTGAAGCTCACAGGAGGGAGGCACAATTAGAAACGTGGGCATCTGCGTCCTTCTCCCAGAATAGTGGCTTGAGGCGGGAGGAGGCCAGTCAGAAGAGTGACCTAGAGAGCTGCATGCACAGTGGAAGAGGCTGGGCGCTTCGGCCGTGGGGCGGGTGAGGATCCCGTCTGAGGCCCGGCACTGAGGACGCGGTGGTGGACAGCGGGTGCGCCCGAGCTCTTCGCCTCCTCGTCCTTTCTCCTTCTCGGTGTAGCCTTGCCCTGTCATCCTTCCTGTAGGCTGTCCTTTCCTCTTCTCTCTTTCAAGCTTCTCTTGCGCCTTTCCTCACTCTTCTTCCTCCCGGCTGTGGGGTGTGGTTTTGTAAGTGGTTGTAAGTGCGGCGGAAGTTCTGTACCTAGTATTTTCTAGTACAGGAAGGTGAGTTCTGATGTGTAACTGCACGTCATCTAGGAAAAGGGGGCTGGGCTTTCTTGGCGTTGAGGGATCCATAAAATGGAAAAGTGTATTTTTTCTGCTCTATTGATTGAGTCTATGAATATATTTAACTTAGCCTCAAGTTACAAAAAAAATCCACAAAATGTTTTAAGCACAATAAAGAAAATACAGAAGCTGTAGACAAATTATGTGTGCTTTATTGTTCTTGTGAAGAAAGAGAAAAATCATAGCACAGGGTGGTTTGTTTTTGCTTTGGAATTAGCTGGAGGGGAACAGGTATCTCCAAATGGAGAGCATTTTTGGAGAGCACACTTTTTCCAGTGACTTGAGATGCCTAACAAATTCGCGAGGCCTTTCTTTCCTTTCCATTGGGTTAGTCTGATGCTTCAAGAGTGTATTAAAAAGAGTAAAAAAATATTATTTTCACAGTGTTGTATGCAATGTTTTGTTCCTTTGCAGTTTTAAAACTGGTACTGGAGGTGGCTGTTGAGACCAGACAGAAGAGGTGACATTAGGTTCCTTTGATGCAGGCAGGAAGACTCACTTTTGAGTTGTATCTCAGTAAGTTTGCGGCGTGAAGAAGACCCGAATCCCAGCCACTCGTCTAGCCTTTCAGGGAACCCAGGGAGAAAGGGCGGTGATTCAGAAACGGGACGTCAGCGGGGCAGCTCGGAGCTGATGCCCTCCTTGTCCCCTGCTGGATGGAGTTGACTCTCAGCCATGGGGTGAGGTCGCTCCCGTCTGTCTCTGCTTCGTCTGCTACCAGTGCTCTCTCTGTCCCACGTAATATCTCTTCTTCCGACTCAGTGTCTGGTCACCTGGCGTCCTTCTTCCTGACTTCTCCTGTCTGGGGACATCTGTGAAGCACCTTCTCCCAGTCGCGCTAGCCCCGTTGTCTTCCCGGCCAGGGTTTGGAGTGCAGAGCCGGTTCCCGGTGGGGACGAGCCGCTGCTGCTTCCTCTGCTTCCTCCGGTGGAGTCTTCGCCCTGGGTCCCCGCTCCCGCCTTTGACGACCTAGTCGGAGCTCCGTGCCCAGCCCAGGGCCGTCTAGGGAAAGCGTTATAACGAGCGCCGCGACGGGTTATTCCTGCAGCAGGAGGACGGGGCAGGCGCCCTGCGGATGGGGTCTGTAGGCGCAGCGGGCGCTGTGGAGCCGGGGGTGGCAGCTTGAGGACGGCCGGGGAGTGCGGCCTCGGGCCCCGCTGCTCCTCCCGGCCTCCTGGGCCTTCCGTGATTCCGCCTCCGTAGGGCGATGAGCGAGTGAGAAATGACTGCCCCTCGCTCAGTCTCCGGGATGTCCTCGCGTATTTATTCGTCACCTCCCTCGGTGACATCACACATTTCCTTTCCAGCTGAATGTTCATTTATTACTTTGTGGGTTGTTTCCGTCTCTAGGCGGGACGTGAGGGGACGTAAGTAACTTGTGCGGGGTTGGTCATGGTGACATCTGTACATGTGTGAGGCTTGTTCAGTTTTAGAAAGCGGGAGGATGTCCTCTCGGAGCGTTGCTGCTGTCTTGAATGTGTCCCTTCTCCGTGAAGTCCCTGAGCAGGGACTCGAAGACTACGTAGGTGACACTGGCAAGAAGCAGAGTTAGAGATTTTGAAAAGTGAGACATGTCGCTTTTAAATGTGTGTCCCGCTCCCGTTTACTCTGTGTGTGTGTGTGTGTGTGTGTCTGTTTTGTTGTTGTTTTGGTGTGTTTGGTTTTTGGCAAGGTGGATCTTGATGACCTATTAAGAGTTCTCTCTCCTCTAGTGCACCTTTGCCTCTCCCCCACCAGCTCCTTCCCAGATCTCTCTTGAGCGTTTACTATGTGCCGGGCACGAGACAGTGATGCGGTTTTTATGTAATTCAGAGAGACGGCGCCCGTGATTGCTCCGCTTCCTAGTCAGCCGGCAAGATGGGAGCAGCTTGAACAGAACGGTCGCCGTGATGAGCAATTTTCATTGGCGTACGAGCACCTGATATGTTTTTCAGGCTTCCCACTGCGTCTGTTTTCTTCTGTAGTAGGTTCTCCTGGCAGGTACTAATAGAAAAAAATAAATGTCATTATTTCATTTGGCAATAAATTCATAGCATAGGATAGTTTTCTCACATGAGCTTGCTTTAGCTATAATAGGTGAAGATTTTTCTTTAACTATATTATCAATAGTCATAGTTTGAAAAAGAAAAAAGTGAGGTAAGATGATAAATAGTACAGAGGATTTTAGCATGCAAAAAAAAAACTGTCCTCCAGTTGTGAAAAGGAAATGAAGAGTCGGAACTCCTGGGTTGTGGTCTTGGCTCTGATGCTCGTAACTCATCAAGTATTGATTTTCTTTCTCAGTAAAAGACGGACCCTTCATAGAAGACGGTTGTTTTGAAAATAAGATGTTATTATAACAATGAAAACGTTCTGGAAAGTTAAACTTGCACATTCATCACCGTCAGCACAGAACTAGTTTGAATAGATTGTTCAGACGTTAAGAATTAAGTTGGATGCAAATGCTGGGATGCAAATAGCATGGCCTCTATTTTAGCGTTTATGACAGCAAGGTCTAGTTCATATGCGCGCCCGACTCCTCTGCGAGATGAGAAGCTTCGTGATTTTGTCGTGTCCCCAGTGTACAGCGCTGGGCAGGTGTTCAGGAAGGTTCCCTGGGTGAGTAAAACTGGCAGACACGAGGAAGGAGCAGATTCATGATGTCACCGGTCCTTACAAACCAGCGCACCAGGTTTCGCTTACATTTTGGAGAGGGGGTCATTGTTTCCCTCTGCCTTAGTCTGTGACGCGTTCAAGGCTTTTTGTTCCTTTCATTTTGCCTTTTTTGCTCTAACCACTTACAGCAAAGATGTGCTCTTGGTAGTACGATCTTAAGTAACTGAGCAAAATGAAGATTTCATTGTCTGAAAGAATGCACTGTCCTGAGTGGATTTTAAGTGTTTTCGTGCCTAGCGAAGAGAGAAAAGCTGGTCTGCCTCGTGTTGCCTAGTTGGGGGTTTTCCAGAGGAGGGACCTGCTATGGCTAACAGTTGTACTTTCCACCTCAAAATAGATCTAGAGCGTTTGGAAGACCACTTTTTGGTCATTGACTTCTTTTAACTACCGAGAGCGTGGAAATCAGGTGTGCTTGGTGTGTGGCAGGACCTTCTTTTCTCCGCGGTCAATACTGGATTCCCACAGGACGTCCTCGCAGAGACTTTCCTGGCACGTGCAGGCTCTGACATCACTTGGTGGGAAAGGGGACTTTGCTTGCACAGTTTGTTTTCTCAGCACAGGTTGTAACTTCTCCTGGAATGTGTCCTTTTCGCTAGTAACAAGACCTCGTATTTGCACAGTACTTTACACTCCTGAAAGTGCTTTTATGGATGGGCGGCTCCTTTGAGCCTAAGCCCCAGGAGAGGAAGCACAGGTGTTATTAGCGTCCTGTGGCGAGAGCTCTGTGGTGGACTTTGACCTAACTCACATGCAAAATATTTGTGCAATGAAATTAGACTTGACCCAATTATGATGACATTGCCACAGTTTTTACTTTTTTTGATAAATCTGTGAACAAAGAAAAGGCCTGCTCTGTGTTAAACCATATCTTTGGGTTCTGGAACTTGGGGATTAGGTTCAAATGAGATGATTGTAATCTTCTTTGCTCACAGATAGGAAACTATCTTCATTTATCACAAAGCGATTGAAGAATAACTGAAAAACTAGAGATCTCGTTGATGTTTGGTGAGGATAGAAATCACTCCCTCCTGATGAAGAAAATGTGTAACAGAGGAGGCTGCAGAGAAAGAACTTCGTAGCTTGGGTAAATATGCGTGTTCATTATAAGTATTTTCTATATTCATTTATAGCTTAGATTCTATCCTGTGGGGTTGGGGAAGGAGTGATTCAAACATACGGTTATAATCTAAGACCTCTTTCTTCAGTGATGGTAGTTCATTGAGTGCTGTTTGAGATGGGGCTAACAAGGGGAGAAGAGAATTCTGGGGAAGGATCAGGTACCCTGGAGAACAAGGCTTATTGAGATATCATATTACATTTGAACCTACTTAATAAAAAAGGAAAATGGTTATTATTATTATTATTTTTTTAAACAGGGGAACAGTGAAGAAAAGCAAAGCTAAACCTTTCTTTATAGCTGACATTTATTTGGGGAGAACTTCTTGGGGTCTTAATGATATTTTGTGCACTGAGTCTTCAAAAATAGTGAAACTGTACACCCAGTTATCTGATATAGCCTTATTAAGTCTCTTGCAAAATAAAGTTGGATTTATTTTTCCGGCTTTGTAAACACTGATAGTTCAAGTCTTTATTTTTGATAGGCCATTGAGGTACTGCATAGTAGATATCAAACCCTTATCAGATAGGGAAGAGCTACAGAAGGTTCAAGGGTCAACATCACTAACTACCCGGAAACTTCTATAACCGGTTGGTAAGGCACAGAGTTCACTTAGGTGTTGTCTGTGAGAAGCTCCAAAGAAAACAAAAGTAGAATCGAGTAGGAATAATTCTGTTCAGCTGCCAATCAGGACTTTATTTGCTTTTATACAAAAGATAACATTAAGTCATCAGGAATGAAGGGATATTATTCATCTTGTGTAATTTTTTTAATTAATAAAATGATGCACATCTCCTTTTGCATGTCGGATTTATAAAGGTGTTCATATCCGTCCTGACTTTGTTTACCAGTTGTATAAATCAGTCACATTCACAGTCTTCAGTAGCGTGTGTGATTAATGCAGTGCTCCAGTCCAGAGTTCATGAAAGCCCATATCATATCTTTTTTTTTAAGATTTTATTTATTTATTTGAGAGAAGGAGAGAGGCATGTGAGCACAAGCAGGGGGAAGGGCAGGGGGAGAAGCAGAAGCAGGCTCTGCACTGAACAGGGAGCCCCATGCGGGGCTCGATCCCAGGACCCTGGGATCATGACCTGAACTGAAGGCAGATGCTGAACCGACTGAGACCCCTAGGTGCCCCCTATATTGTATCATTTCTTAAGAAAACACAAACGTTTTCAAAAACAAAAACAAAAAGAAAAGGAAACATTTTAAATTATGTAAGTTCTGCCCTCTTCTTTTTTTTTTTTTTTTTTTAGATATTTGTGGGGTGCCTGGGTGGCTCAGTTGGTTAGGCATCTGCCTTTGGCTCAGGTCATGATCCCAGGGTCGTTGGATCCAGCCCTGCATCGCTCTCTTCTCACTGCTCCCTCTGCCTCTGCCCCTGCTCTCCACTTGTGCTCTCTCTCACGATCTCTGTCTTTTTCTCTCAGATGAATAACTAAATAAATAGAATCTTAAATAAAAAACTAAGAAAATATTTATTTATTTATTTATTTGAGAGGGAGGGGCAAAGGGACAGGGGAGGAGGGAGAGAGACTCTTGAGCAGAGTCTGCCGAACACAGAACCCCGGGCGGGGTTTGACCCCAGGACCCTGAGACTGTAGTCCGAGCTAAAATCAAGACTCAGTAGCCTAACGGACTGAGCCGCCGGCTGCCCCTCCCGTCTGCTGAAGCCCTGTGTGACCTACCATGTCCTCTCAGTAGCCTAACAGACTGAGCCGCCGGCTGCCCCTTCCCGTCTGCTGAAGCCTTGTGTGACCTACCATGTCCTTTTCTTCAGATGTCTTCAGAATACCAAAAAGTAGCTGAATAACAGTTTTGTAGAAAATCTTATTTTTTTCCAATATATCTTTCAATTATTTGGCCCATTTTATAGTGTTAGCTCAACTTGGAGAAAGTAAAATGAAAATTCAATAAATTATATATTTACATTAGTAAACAGTATATATTCCAGAGTGATAATTTGCTTGAACTTGACAGAAAACCAATTAAAATTCAGTTAAAAAATACATGTTGGTTATTATAATTTAAAGTTCTAGATGCTTCAGGCAAGGCTGAATCCAGGCCTGAGGACAAAATGGCCGTCAGTCTTTCAGTCCTCAGTTTAATCAACTCATATGAAAGGGATGGTTTCTTTTATAAATAGTTTTAGAAAAAGGTGCTGATTTGATTTTCCTTACTTTAACATAGTGCACATAGTGCACATAGTGCACATTTCCAAATTCCTGAAAAGTAACGAAGGGCTAGGGTCCTCGTACTCTTCTTGGCCACTGGAACTAGCCAGTGAAACTAGTGGAACTAGTGGAACTAGGTGGAACTAGCACCAGAGCCCCCCTCAGTGAAACATAACATGCGAGGAAGAAGGGAAGAAGTACAGGTCTGCAAAGAAAATCCAGGGGCAGTTATGAGAATGTGGTTTTTTGTTTTGTTTTGTTTTGTTTTTTTGCTTACTTTTTTTTTTTTTCCCATGGGGGTGTGGTGGCAGGAAAGGCCAATGTATGTATATACTAAATTAAATGAAGAGTGAAATGTATGCTGTTAGGTGAAAAAACCATTGAGCAAAAGAACAGCCAGTTAAAATGGTACACTGATATTTCATAGCAGATTAACAAGGGATGATGGCAAAGTCTTGATACTGAAAATGTTTGATTACTGAAAAAAGGCCTTGAAACATAACCATACTCGTGATGATAGCATCTCAAAAGGCTGTTTCTTCATCCATAAGATGGTAACTGTTTAGTTAATAGTGGCTGTGTGTATATACTTTTCATGTGCTGAATTACATTGATACACAAGGTTTTCTAGGTTTTATTGAGCATTGTTTGTATAATTTAATTTTATCCAATTATGGTGCTATTGCAATTATTTTAGAATAGAAACAAAGAAGAATAAAACTCTCCTCCCCACCCCTACCTTTACTGTGGGAAATTGAAACATGGAATTGCAACTCACTGAAATTTGCCTTTAAATACATTACATACTTCGTAGACATTAACATAAGGAAAATTAAACTCCACAGGACTGGAAAAATTAAAGAATTTTTATGTAACCCAAGTTTATGAATGTTCTCTGCCCCAATTTTTTATTAAGGAATCAACCATAGTTTCTTGATTTCCTTCATTTGAGCAGTCTCTGTTGTGTGGCTGTTTACAAAAATGCTTCCTAAGAGCCTTTATTGAGTAGGTGCTCCTTTCCTCAAACACTAAATATATTTGTATGGTTTTACAACTTTTTAAATAATAAAGTTGTTTTTTTTTTTAATTAAGGGTGGCTTTTAGCATAGGTATTTTGTAAATTTTTTTTTGTTTGTTTGTTTCCTGAATAGTAACTCATGATTTTGTTTTCTGAGATGAAGGAAGGAAAGAAGAGTGTAGAGAAAGTAAGGAGGACAGGAGGGACAAAGGAAGGAAGGACAGAAGAAGGAGCTCAAAGTACTGAGAATATTTGAACAAAATTCCGTTTTTAAAGAACGTGGTGTTGAAATCCGTATTTTCAGTGTTTTAGAAATAATCCTAGCATATTAGAACTAAGTAAGACGATTAGTCAAAAAATTAAAACTAATTAAATTTATAAAATATATTAGATATAACCATTAAATGAAATTTTTTGACACCTTTGATAATGATTTAGCTGCTTGAATGCCTTTATATCAGCTCATAGCCAAGATCTTAAAGTAAGGACTAGCAGCTTACGTTGTCTTATAGACATTAAGGGAAACTGAAAACCGACCTTTCCTTACCTAATGAAGGGGTTGAGTGGTGAGTGTGGTTACCCGGAAGAAGAGCAATGAAGGCAGAGAGAATAAAAGGTTCAAAGGCCCTGAGGCATTTATTTATATCAAAATCTCCAAAAAGCTCATTAAAATATAAAAACAGTATGCCGAAAGGAAAATAAAAATTATAAGATATTTAATAAATCTAACACATAAAAGCTGTGCCTTACTTGTAGTTAAAGAAACACACACTTTAGAAAAAGACACGTTTTTGAACAATCAAATTGGCAAAAGATTAAGAAAAAAAAATCATTGCTGGTAAGGGTGGTTGCACTTAGCATTTTCACCTGCTGTTGATGGAAGCCTTTGTTGGTAGAACTTTCTAGAAAACACGTTGGTGATGTGTATGAAAATCCCTGAAAGATCAAATACTTTGGAACTAGTAATTTCACTTTCAGGAGAGCACGATAAAGCAGTCATTTGAGATGAACCCAAAATTCCTGTGCAGAGATGCGCACTGCAGTTTCTCTGTAATGCGGAAGGGGGACGATGGCAGAAGCAGTAAAGTGACGTGAATTACTAAGTCGTGTTTTTATGTGCCGGGCACAGGGATGACTGCTATGGATGGAATATCTCATGTATTTCTCTCTAAATTCTTATGATGTATAGTGTTGATTTGTTAATTTCCCTGCCACTGTGTTTATGATGCGCTGGTCTTCTGTGGCTGAAGCCCCTTTACCGTGTACAGCAGCCGTGTGATTGAGGAGAGGTGACTGTATCTGCATGTCCAGGAAGGCGCCCTCGTTGGCCGAGGCAAATCAGTGCCTCTGTGTTCCCAGTGTCACCTTCCCCGCTCAAACGGAGTGAATCTCAGACTTTTGATGATGGATTGCGGGAGAATAGCTTCCTCTCCTGTTGCTCTCTTGGTCTTCTTTCTTCGTCATTCCTCCAAACATCGCTGATTTCCATCCCTTTTCCTAGTCAAATTTATTTTACTCTTCGAATTCCTACTGCATTAAAAAAAGTTTTTCTACCCTAGTATGATTTTCACTCTGTCCTATGTCATTCATTAACCCATCATGAATTTTTTTTAAGATTTTATTTATTTGAGAGAAAGAGAGCGTGCAGAGGGAGCACCAGGCACAGGGAGAGGGAGAAGCAGACTCCCCACTGACCAGGGAGCCCCATGTGGGGCTCAATCCCAGGACCTGAGCCGAAAGCAGACGCCTGACGAGTGAGCACCCAGGCATCCCCCATCATGAATTTTTAACCTATGGCCTGTTGTCAGTGTTTCGGATCCATCTCATTGCTTTACTGTGTTTTTTCCTTAAATGGTTCTTAATATTTGAGAAACCAAAGTGGGTGAAGAGTTAATGGTAAAAAAGAACAAAGGTTCTACCTTAACCCAGTCAGGCTGAAAAATATAATAACCAAAAGTTTCACAGAAAGTGACTTGTGTTTTCCACCGATTTCACCAGAAAGGGTGAATGACTTGATAATTGTTCTCCTATTTCTTCTAATTAGGAAAATTTCCTGCTGGTGACAGCTTCAAAGCACCTCTAAAAGTTTCATGTCAAATGCAGAGGAAAGAACTAGGTTGAATTTGTTTTTAAATTGGTGAATTTAAAATTGTTATTAATTCTGAAATAGTTTGTCATATGTCATCCTCTGTCACTTTTTTCTTTCCATAATGAGAGCCGAGGAAAGGGAACTTAAAATGCACATGGAATGACAACAGATGATATGAATTCTTGGTCCAGACTGACATCTCTCAGAATAGGAAAGCCCAGGGCCAGAGCTGTCTTGGTCTTGCTCTGTTCTTACATAAATTAAATCCCAAGCACCATTCCAGCTTACAAATACGAATGCCCAGAGTCTATACTTCCATTTTACCACCTAACAAATATACATAGATTTCTATGGAGCAGTTTCCTCTCTCAGCTTCTCTCTTCCATGGTCTCCAGAGCCACATTTGCCTTATGATCTTCCCGAAATACTTATCTTATTGTACCCTTCCCTGTTTTATCATACTCCCATCGTCTTTAGGGTAAAAATCCAAATTTTACAGTATGGTGTTCAAGAGCCTTTCTGATAATGGCCTTATCTTAGTGTTCAGATCTCTTATAAAACAATTCTGGAAGCATTCTCGTTTCAAATCGTGTCTACCGAACCGCTTGCCTGTCCTCGAGGGTGGCACGTTGTTTCTCAGTCATATGCCTTCGCTGTTGCTGTTCCCTCTGCCGACGGTGGTCTTTCCCAGTTTCTTCATTAGATGACTTCTAAACCAAAGGTTCACAGATCCCATCCTTTTTTACGTAGGATTTTCCTAAACATTCTCTATGTTTCTTTAGCACTCGACCTTGCTGTTGACATAGTCCTTGTCAACTGACAAATGCGAAGGAGGACTTGGACTTGTTTTCTTCTCCCTGATGACCGGTGCAGTTGGGTGTTCGGTACGTGCTCAATGGGTATTTGTCCGATGAACTGAATTAATTTTCTAGCTTCACATTCCTTAGAGCGTGGGGTGTAGTTATGACTGTAGGTGTGCCGCCACCTCAGTGAGAAGACGAACGCGAACAGGAAATGACTGCCCCAAGCCACCATGACAGTTTATACCGTTTTCGGGCATTAGAGTGAAAATCTTTGACAAGACATTATTAGGAAGAGATTCTAAGGCATTTGGACTAGCATGCTAATGCATGCTAAGTCGCTTGGACCTTGTCCAGAGGGTGATGTGACCAGCTTACTTGTTAGACCGCTCGTGGCTGACTGCTGATACGTTGGTGAGGATGTAACTGGGAGAAGAAACAAAATGGCGTCTTTTGTATTAAGTAGAATTGAATTTATTCTGGGCAAAGGAAATGAAGGATTATGATAATGCCAGGTTTCTGCTTGAATAAGTAGAACAGAAATTTTAGTATTAATTAAAATCAGAAGACAAGAAAAAAAAAGAAAAAAGAATATCACAGGCCGAAGATCTGATTTTGTATATTTGAATTTTGATGCCCATAGAGAATAAAAGATGAGTATCTAGGAAGACATTTTTTTGCAACATTTTGTATAATAGTTTGAGATATTGCTAAATTCTTGGGGCTAGCTACAAAGAGAAAAATAAGTAGCAAAATGATTTTGAGAAAGTTTTAAGATCCTGATAATGCTGGTTTCTGTTTCATTTGATGACAAGTAGAAATGTGTCTTAGCCTGACTTGTTTATTTTAATTGGCTTTACTGTGTATGAAGTACTTGAAGGTGCCGTGTTGCACTAACAGATTGAAGCATCTAGTCATATCACAGTGTTAACAATGTTAGTTTCTTTAGTGTTGGGAAAAATGAAGGTTCTGGTGAAGACATGATTCTTTGCTTCATTTCGTGCACACCTTCGAATTTCATGTCAATCTAATAAGTGCTGGCAAAATAAGATGAAATTGAGTGTATTAGGGTCATACTCAAATTTTAAGAATCATTCAAATTGGAATCAGGATTTTATATTTAAAAATATGTATTCAAAAGAACAACCTATGAACATCTTATTTTTTTGCAAGACTATTTGAAAATGCTCTTCCTGTGCACAAATGTAATCGTATCAGACATGGAACCACAGTCCCACTTCAGAGTGCAGGTCACTCTCTCGCAGGAAAAAGATGGAAGCACAAGTTCGTTCTTGTTCTTCGATGTGGGTGTCTCAGTGCTCGTCTTCATTCTGTCACATTGCATGGAATATTCTCGTCTGAAAACACTTCCTCAGTAAGACTGGGTTTCAGTCAGTCTGAGATAGAAATAAAACCTGTGAGGGTGTTAAATTGTATTAGCCACTTTAAGGAAAATATTTACTTTCCTATAATATTTCAGAATGGGATTTTTTGGAATAGTTTGGTTACTTATGTTATCTTAGGTGATTTCTTTCTTACTTATTTTCATGAGACCAATATTTGCATAAAATGGAGAAATCACCATTATGCTAAAAGAGCTAGTTTTGTCTTCCCTTTTCTCCCTTCTCCCCAAGACAAAAAAGAAAAATTATCTAGTCACTTTGGAAATGATGACATAGTTTCATGGTTACCTTTTAGCTGTGTCATGTTTGAATTCTAAAGCTGGAGGTATGTGGTCATGGAGCCTTTATATTTTGAGGAAAGAGAAAATGAATCGTATCATGAATATACCCTAAGATTCAGTAAACACTAAGAGAGTACTATGTGATTTAGTAAATAATAGCATCACTGGGTAGATAAACTTTTTTTCACGAAAATTATAAAATACCCACATATGGCCTTAAAATAAACCATGCTCATATTTTAATTCAAATTTGACGGTCTCTGTCTGTTGTGGCAGATGTTATGGATTATCTCCATAAACCCTTTCCTTCAGCATCTTCCCAAAAACTTACTTGAATTACTACTTCAGAGTTTGCCTCTGGGGTCACCCAAATGAACATCCTCTCTTTTCTTTCTCAAATTTTGTTAGAAAAAGAGCAGGAATAGTGTGAGCAAATAGACAAACAGACTTCTGAAGAAAATTGTGGGTGAGAAGGAAAAACACAGTGTTCAGAATATTCAGATGGCTTAGATACAAAGAGGCAGAAATAAAATATTTGAAATGTGTCTCTGGTCTATAATTTGAGAAAGTCAAAGTCTTGGATTTGGGTTTACCAATGGTCTGTATCAAAATTATGGAAGAAAGCAGAACAAAAGAGTGAGATACATGTTTGTATTTTTGGGAAAACAAAACAGAGAAAAAACCCAGCTATTTTGGCAAGAAGACATGCTGTATTGTGAACATTTTGCTAGTATTTGAAATTTATATCACAGGTACATTTGAAATGACCAAATTAAGGGAAGGTATAATTTGTGTTGCATCTGGAAAGACTTTTTCCTTTCATCTGTTGGGAAAAAAAAATGTAAAAATCTTAATCAGCCTCTACGTCTCTTCTCACATAGCGTGAAAATGAATAGAAGGATGAGTTACCTGAATGCTTCTCCACAGCAGTGGAAGTGGAATGAAAGTTAAAATAGATCAATGCTTTCTAAAAGTCTGTTTCATCTTCTTAATCAGGGACAGAGTATGCGCTTGGTTGGTTTAATTAGCTGAGAACTGAGGGAGGTAGCTGGGGCTGGCTGGGCAGCCCACAGGGAAGCGGGGTACTGTCAGCCGTCATCACTGTGCTTTCATAGTAACATCTCCGTGAGTTAAAACACTTAACTTATTATCTAGCAATTTTGGTATTTGACCTTATCTAGCAATCTATTACTCTAGCTTTCCAAAAAAAAAAAATTACATGCTTTACCTCTGTTTTGTTTTGTTTTCTATGAAGTAACTTTCTTGAACTTTCACAAGAAACATTTTAGAGTATGTACCATAGGTTCTGATTTAAAATACACATAAGTGTAATTATTGGTTACTTCTATTCCATCCAATTTTAATTTTATTTTTAGTTATATGTGATTCCTTTTGATATACATAGGAGAGAAAATAATTGAAGAACTCAGATGGTGACTGTATGATTGAAACTATTCGAAGTCAAGAGTCTGCATATTCTTTCAACTATATTCAAGCTCTCCCAGGTAAGAATAAGTGGTTGTTTACATACTTAACACCATTTTGAAAAAAATTTGAAACTATAAACAATTTTTTTGTACTAAATATTTAAAGAGATGGTTTTATTGCAGGATATGTTAAAATACATAAAAGCAAAAACAAAATAAAATTAAAATCACAAATGAACTTGTGTTTCAAAAAATAACTTCCTGGACGCCTGTGTGGTTCAGTCGATTGTCTGACTCTTGATTTCAGCTCAGGTCTTGATCTCAGGGATCGAGAGTTCAAGCCCAGAGTTGGGCTTCACACTGGTCCTGGAGCCTACTTAAAAAAATAAATAAATAAAACCAAAAAACTTCTGTTACCATTTTGTTCTATATCATTTAAGGTTTTATTGGTTTTCCGCTTGAAACGAAGTTGGGATGTTTCTTTGTTGAATTTCTTTATTATTTTTGTAACAAATCTGTTTTGCTCTGACAGTATAAATTAATGTTTCATATTTTTCTTTGTATCTGTTAAACATAAATGATTTTAAAATATTTTTGAGATGTGTTTCTTATTCATTATATCTTTGTAGATAGATTGGTATGTACATCACTCTTTTTGCATTGGTAGAGTTACTAAAATTAGCATCACTGGCTCAATGGCTATAAAATTTCAAAGGCTTTTTGTTATTTCTGAATTTACCTCCAGAAAGTAGTAATGAGTTACAGTTACAGTTTTTGTTAGCCGTTCTTGAAAATGTTGATCCATGACTTAAAATGTTTTCGTTCAAAGAAATTCCCAAACAAAACCTAGTTTGGGTTGAAGAAAAAATTTCACAGTTACGTTAACCTTCTAAATTTTACTTGTAAGCAGTAGCATCGTCTACTCACGTATATTCAACCAATGTATCTCTTACATAACTAAATATAAAAGAAAAGCAAATATTATATATCCATAATCTTTCTACACTGTCTAAAAATACATTATTTATAAATGATAACAAATATATTTATTCAATTAGTATTTAGTGGAAATTTATTCTTGTACTAAGCCTAAGTAAGCACTATGATTATTTGATTATCATTGATGGTAGTGGTGATGGTAGACATTAAGGACAGGAAGGTATAGAAGTATTTTCTTATCTCTTTTAATTTTCAATAAAATGTGGCAAGATAAGAAATATATTTTAGTTCCTTAGGTAAAAGTAGAATGTGCTAGATGCCAAGAACACTTCAAAAATGAGACAGACCAGTTGAGTTGTGCTTTTCAGAGTAGGTAGAACTTTGAAGGCCAGACATGGAAATGGAGGGCCGACTTGGAGCGAAGGTACGCAGCTGAGAAAGTAAGGGGGTGTTCAGGACACGGGAAGGATAAGGTAGATACAGTGGAGTGATGGGAAATATGTTGTGGATTTGGATTTCTGTGCTGAGGCGTTTGTATTTCATCATTATACAGTGAAGGAACAGCTGCAGGGGATGAGATGGTCGTGCAGTCCTTTAAGAAGCCGTATATGTGTTAGACTACGGCAGGGGGAGCAGACCAAGAGGAAGGGAGATGATTTACAGACTTTCCCTTTCATTTTCATCAGCACTTGTTAAACTCTTGCTGTTTGCCACGTACTTGAAGAACTTGAGAAACTGTAGAAAAAAAGATGAAGACGTAATCATTCCTGAGGAGCTTGTAGTGTGGGGGATGAGGCACGCAGACCGACGAATGTAATACGCCACGGTAGCTTAAGAATTGAATCGCATTTTTAAAAATGATTTATTTATTTGAGGAGGGGAGGGCCAGAGGGAGAGGGAGATGCAGACTTCCTCTTGAGCAGGGATTCCAGGACCCTAAGATCATGACCTGAGCTGAAGGCAGACACTTAACCGACTGAGCCTCCCAGGCACCCCCAACTGAATCACATTTTTAAACGAACTAGTTGGTAACTACTTATGTTGAGATGAAGGTACTAGATTATCAGCTGGTGGGGTTTTCTCAGAGACATCGCGTCTGATGAGGTTACCAAGGAGGCAATGTTTCTAAACATTGGAAGAATTCAAAGAAGAAACAATGGAAATTTTATCTAGGGTGAGATTAATGTAAGTAAAACCGGGCAGTGGTGTAAGTGCCGGGAGGTCAAGGGGAGGGTCTTTTACATTAGGCAAGAGGGGCAAGTCGATGGAATTAACAAAAATGGGGAAAATATGGCAAAAGTGAGATTATTTTGTTGGTAAAATTATAGGTTCGGTTTTGAACACTGAGGACTTTAATGTCCTCTCTCACTGTGTTCTTTTTGTAGCTTTCGTTGCAATTCCTTGTGTAATCGAGGATTCGTTTACTACTAAAAGTGATGGAGTTTCCTTAAAATGAAAGTAAAAGTACAATAAGGGTAAAAACCAGTTACACCAAACAAAACATGAAATACGAAGTAAAGATTAGTAACCGCTGTGTATGTAACTTAGCTTCAGCCTTTTTGGTGGCCGAAGTGGATATATGTTCTTGCCCTAAAAGCTTAGATAAATCCATTACAGGAGTCTTAGTGCAACGGACAGGAAAAGTGAGATTACTCCTTAGAGGAGTCTTAAATTTTGCATTGTTAAAAGGAAGAGAACTTTGATAATGTATAGTTATAGGTAGGTCAGTTTGGGGAAGGGAAGAATTCAACTTCTCCAGGAAGTCTTCTCTGACTTTTGGAATCTGGACCAGATCCCCCTTCTATGTGTGATGTACCGTGAGCCGGTTTACATTCCTCCGTCATACCATGCGCTGTGGTCTTGTCTATCGTTTTCCGAGGCTCTAAGATTCTTGAGGGTTGGCTTATCATTCATCATTACAGATACAAACTTTAGTTTTATAGAGGATACTCTGTAAATATTTCTTAAATGCTGTACTGAATTGTTTCTGTGGCTTGTCTTAATTATTGGTGACCTGGCCTTGACATTTGTGTGAGCTCCGTGTTAGTGTTCTATTGCTGTGCGATAAATCACTTCCAAACTTACCAGGCTGAAACAGTGCTTACGGAGTATCTTACAGTTTCCAGACATAGTTTAACTGGGACCTCTGGCTCAAGGTCTCCCATGACGTTGCTGTCATGCCGTCAGCTGGACCTGCAGTCATTTCAGAGCTCATCTGGTGCTGAAGAGTCCACGTCCCGGCTCAGCCGTGGGGGTGGGGGGCTCTCTCCATAGGGCTGCCTGACGATATGGGAGTTAGTTTTCCCTGGGACAAGCAGTCCAAGAGGGAGTGAAAGTGAGCACGTCTATGGAAACAACACCCCTTTCTGGCCGAATGTAGGAAGTGTCATTCCATGTGTAGTGAGTTTTGTGATGGCCCCGAAAACATATGTTCAAGTCCTAACCTGTGGTACTTGTGGATGCGACACTTGGAAAGAGTCTTTGAAGATTGAGCTCAACAGAGGATCTTGAGTGCCATCATCCTGGATGAACCGGATGAGGCCCGATAGTCCAGTGGCTTGTGTCCTTACGAGAGGAGAAGACCCTGTGAAGACAGAGGCAGGACTCGCGTGACACCCTCACAAGTCAGGGACCACCCGGAGCCGCCAGAACCTGGAAGAGGCAAGAACAAAACCTCCTTCCAAGCCTGTACAGGTAGTGTGGCTTCCTGACAATTTACTTTCACTACTGGCCTCCAAAACCGTGACAGGATAAACTTCTGTTGTTTTAAGTCACCCCGTTTGTGGTTATTTGTTAGGGCAGCCACAGGAAACTGACGTATCCCTAATGTACCGCCACTTCTGCCATCTTCAGTACCGTAGACGTGAGTTTCAGCTCCGGCCCACGTTCAAGGGCAGGGGAATCACGAAAGGGCATCAGTGCCAGGAAGCAGAGGTTACTGGAAGCCATCTTCGAGGCTGCCTGTTCCCTCAGATGTCTAGATGCCTCCCTTCCTCTGGTGTGTCTTGTAGATGGACCCAACCCTACAGGTCAGAGATCACAACCATCTCACGTTCTTCAAAGTATCCTACCTCTCTGATTAGAATTACCTTCCATTTGGAGAGTCAGTCTGGGAAACTGAGTCAATCTGAATTCCTTTTTTTTATTAATACCCATAATCTGCAATTAGTTAACCAGTCTTTTTCACTCTGTTCCTTAAATTTTTCTAGCTTGTCTCTCTTTGCAGTCTCTCTTCTACTGACTACTGGCTTCTGTTGCTTCTTCAAAACTAGCCAGATACTTGCTAAGCTGTCAGACTGTTTCCGAGCTTTTCCCCGTCAGACCTTTCCCCAAAAAGAGGCTTTTGAAAACCCGAATAGGATTATGCCGCTCCCTTTAAGTAACATTCTCAGGAAATAGAAGACCCTTGCCATCTGAATCCTGACTTCATACTATTCAAGTTTTACCTTTAATCATTCCTTAATGTAGATCAATGAAATTATATAAAATTGTTTTCTTTCATTTTTGTTCGCCTTTGTCTGGGGTTCTCTTTATCCAGTAATCACACAGGTTCTGTTTGTTTTTGCGCTGAGCAGAGTGTCTGATATCATTAGCGGCACAGGATAGGTTTTCATCTGTGAAAACTAATGTTACAGAACAAAGAGTTGAAGACAGAAGAGGCCTGACATCAATAAAATGGCTAACCTTACCGATTAGCCTAAGATAGAAACAAACGAAAGAGAAAAGGAAATGATTGGCTCACCATGTGGTAAGACTGGGAAATTTAGGGGTAGGTAAGGGCAAATGCCTGTTTGGTGTAAATGTGCAGAAGTAGAAAGTCAAGAATATGTGACAGAGAGGGCAAGTTTAGTGATTGAGATCATAAATGAAGTTTAGATTCAACTCTGAGTATAATGTGGTTTTAAGCTTTTAGGAGTATGAAAAGGTACATCCTCATGGACATTACAATCTATTAGGCAGAGAGTTTGAGGAATAGAATGTAGTCATTCAAGACAGTGAGGTGTAGAATAGAGATGACAGAAATGTACTGCAATGTTAAGAAAGCAGAAAAGAACTAGAAGTATAATTTCTTTTGCCCCTTTCTGTTGTGATAAGACTAAAGCTGTCTTGTCTGAAGAGTCTCTAGGGAGATCTTCAGT